TATATATATGGGGTAATTTGTGATGATAATTAGGGGGATATCTGAACCAATAATTTATGGTTGATCAAATAATTGCAGTGTGAAAGATGAGTCAAAGCCTGCAGGACTTGCAAACGTAATGTTTAAGTCCTTGTCTGACTACAAATTGGAGAAGCAAAAGCTCGGAGTCAGCGATGCTTCCAAGAAAAGGTGTGAATAACAGGCATATGGGCAATTTATGATGATGTAAAAGGGGAAACTAAACCAATTTTGTGCTTAACTATAGTGCTGCAGGTGAGTCACAACCCACAGAAGTTGAGTTTAAAATGCCCAAATCCTGGCTTTCTCTTGGTGAATGCCTCCCAAGTAAGGACTCTGACTATGATTTCAAGGGGCAGGAGCTCAAAGTCAATAAGGGCTCCAGCGAAAGGTACATATAAGGGCATATGACAGCAATTTATAATAATACACAGCCAACTAATCAAAAAAAAAAAAAAAGAAAGACTTTACATTGGAAAAAGAAGGGCATAATTAAACTTATATCTTAAATTGGTTTGAACAAAACATTTTCATCTTGCAGGAAGACTAGGTGGAGCTGGACAGTATTGGTTCACCCTGATAAAGTCCTAGGGGTACTTCCTCCTGATGGTTACAATTGGAGGAAATATGGACCCAGTGATATGCCTATTTCAAGATTTCCAAGGTAGAGACACTTTCTTTTTTTTTTTTTTTCTCAGCCAATAAGGTAGATTTCTTTAATAACACTGCTCGAGGCAGTAAGAACTGCTCCGAAGGAGTACAAAACAGAGTGCAAGCACTCGATTTTACCAGCGTACAAGCCTCATCAATGCAAACATGGCTAATACAAAATAGCTGGTATAGTGATCGAGTATAGTTATAGGCTAAGCTATACATAGAAGAGATGAACAAATAGTGTAAAGAACGCTTTTAACAAGAGCTACCACCATACTGAAAACATAGACTCACTATCAACACCCTATTTAGCTAGCATGTCCTCTTTTAGTGCATATTATTAAAAACAAGATGCAATTGATGTGTTAATTAAGGCTCAGACTGCTCAGTTTAGTTATTTTTTCTGTTTTTTGTTTTTGCTTGATAAATCCATTAAGTGTCTGTTTATTTAGAGGTATAGGTTAATCTGTTTATTACTTTTAGAGTTAGAGTTCACGCTAAACTTTTGTTTTTTGGGTATATGGAGAAGATATTTCTTCCTTCCTTATCATGTCTTTCGTGTAGCCATTTTCGTATTTCCCTTCAGAATGCATTGCTTTAGAGTGACACTTGAGACCTTCAGTAAAAAAAAAAAAAATTGCTGAAACATTATCACATAGAATCAATGTAGGCCAAAAACCAACTCTATGTGGACAGCTTAAACTGGACTTTTACTCCTCTGCATTTCCATTATTATCTGTTCAGAGCAAATGATGTTTTATCAGTATGAGCATTCCTGACTGCACGCTAGTGCAGTACCTTGATGCCTAACCAATGGCATGATTTAACTTTTTTTCCGGATTTAATGTAGAATAACTGTTCTAGACAATTGAGGATATTTGATAATAACTCCCATTTCCTTAAGAGCTAGCGTCCCAAAAACATGCCATGTAGATGTATTTCATATATCCTATTTTTGATGTAACAAATTTCAAAATTCACTGAACTTTAAACATGAAATAACCTTTCTTTTCTTTCTTACAGGTACTATTGGTGCGAATATCAATCCAGCCAAGGCTGTATGGCTACAAAGCATGTCCAAACAGTGGATGAAGATCCAACGATTGCCAGGGTTACTTACTATGGAAGACACACTTGCACTCTAGCCCCAGATATGATGCCTCGAGGACCACCTGAAATACTAGCTGTACAGAACCTACTCTTAATCATGTTCCATTTAGATTGTGGTCTTTCTTATAGATAGATTAAATTAATTTAGATACTGATATTCTAGTGAAATAAGTATTTTTCATGTATATTTGCAGCCTTTGGATACTGCAAGTGGCATTGATGGAAATGACAAAAAGGATTCACAATCTAATGTTCAGTCAAGGGTACACAGTCCTGACAATCAAACTTGCATTTCATCAACCGAGCTGACAAGTGAGCTTCCAAATTCAGGGCTCAACCTGAATGTGTTTCCTGAGAAATCATTTGAGTCATATCCAATGTGGGAAAACTTTTATGAAAATGAAGTGAGGAAGAATTGGAAAGTGCTGAACAGGAAGAAGGATGTGCTACTCTTACTTTCATCTTATCCTATGATTATGATTGACAAATCTGACACAGATAAATGGATTATCAATGTAGTGGCAATCATGAGACATGTGAAATCATTAGAAAAGATTTTATTTGGTGTAGGGGCAGTGAAATATTGGCCACGAGTGACTGGGCTACGGAAACTTGCTCAACGCTTGCAGAAGTTGCTGGATGTTCCCTTGATGAATGATATTGAGGGAGTTTTACCGGTAGACTTGGTTGAGAACCTATATAGGCCAACAGAAGCTGATTTAAGGCCCTTGTTGGAAGTGGAACAGAATATAATTAGCGGAAAGACATCAAAATCTAGAGGTTCACCAAGTAACAATGAAGGGGCAGCAATGGAAACTGAAAAAGAATTGCAGCCAATGCCTGCAAAATGTAAAACTCTGGTAGACGATACTGAGTTTTCAGCCAAAGGAACACTGAATGCACCAGAAGAAATATTTGACTTGTCAATTTATTTAGCTGTTTGTCAGATCTTAAAATGTATGAACAGAGGATATATCTGGTGTATTACAATCAGTGGAAGAGGTAAGAAAAGGGTGCTAGAAGCGATAAAGCAGCACCAAGATATAGGTTCTGATTTTGGATATATCATTGTATTCACTGTGTCAGAAGATCAAAATGGGGCAAATGTTCACGGTGTCTTTCACCTGCAGAAGCGTATTTGGCTAGGTGGATGCTTTGATTCTGTTGACCTTACACATGAATATTTTGACAACTTGTGCTCCCCTGGAATCCTATTGCTTACAGGGGATGATTATGATAAGAACGTGAACCTGGATCACTCCACACTCCCATTTTCGATAAACCTTGACAAGTTGGTTGACCATAAACATAGTGGTTCAAGGTTCATAATCTTTACTTCTGAAATGGCAGCAGACATGGAGATAAGAATGGAGGATCATTTGTTGTCATGGAAATTGTTTTGTAGGATTGTGGGTGAAGGTTTGCTTTCTCCTAGTATCCAACAGATAGCAGCAAGTTTGGTTAAAGAATGCCATGGCAATCTACTCGCCATCATTCTAATGGCCAGGTCCTTGAAGAAAGTTATTGATGATGTCAACTTGTGGGAACTTGCTTTTAAAAGATTGACCATGCTACCTCCATCTCAGATAGAAGATATAGACAATGTCCTGATTAATGCATTAACATTCATTTGGGAACGTATGAACAACAAAACAAGACATTGCATTAAGCTTTGTACGTGGTATCCCAAGGGAGAGAAAATTGACAGAGTCTCACTAATACAACATTGGATCCAAGATTGTCTGGTTGATACCTATGATGAAGGTACCAACATCATCCAAAATCTTGTTGATACATTTCTGCTTAATATCGTGGAGTTAAATAGTGTCCAGCTGCGGAGAGAGATCTGTGATGTATTAGTAAACCCACTAATTCTTCAAATGCATCCATTATATCTTATGCTAGGCGGGGCAAGATTGATTAAACCTCCAGAAGAAGAGGAATGGGATGCCAAAGTGATCCATTTGATGGATAATAAATTATCTGACCTACCAGAATCTCCAAAGTCACCCTCACTAATTGCATTGTACCTTCAGAATAACTTGGATCTCATGGCTATCCCATCTTGTTTCTTCAAGCACATGCCTTTGCTTCAAATCCTAGACTTATCACATACCAGTATCAAATCTTTGCCAGAGTCAATTTCAAGTTTGGTTAACCTTCGAGAACTCCTTTTGAAAGGCTGTGAACTCTTAATACGACTCCCTAGTCATGTTGGAGAACTGAAGAATCTTGAGAAGCTCGACCTTGATGAAACTCAGATTATAGATCTCCCAGCAGAGATTGGACATCTTTCCAAATTAAAAATTTTGAGGGTCTCATTCTATGGATATATGAACTGTAGCAAAACAAGGTTGCGGCAAGATACAATAATTCCCCCTGGAACAATATCACGTCTCTCTGAATTAACTGAATTAAGCATTGATGTTGATCCGGATGATGAACGCTGGAATGCGACTGTTAAAGCAATTATTGAGGAAGCTTGCAAGCTGAAAACTTTAAGACAGCTTAATTTGTACCTGCCAAACATCGAATTATTGTGGAAACGCAGTACAGGCAGCACATCATTGCTCCATTACCCCTTGCCATGTTTCAGATTTACTGTCGGTTATCACAAACCGCAGGTCATATCTCGAGTACCAGCAGAAGTACAAGCTCACTTCAATAAGGGCTACAAATGCTTGAAGTTTGTCAAAGGCAAGGATATCCCAGCTGAAATGAGAATGGTACTTAGCCACAGCACAGCTTTTTTCCTGGAAGGTCATGCTACGGCTAGGAGTTTGTCTGATTTCGGAATTGAAAATACCAGGCAGCTAAAATTTTGCTTATTGACCGAATGTAATGAAGTCCAAACCATCATTGATTGTGCAGAGTTTCCTGAACAGCAGAATGCCCTTGGAAACCTACAAGACTTGTGTATATATTACATGAAGAATTTAGTGAGCATTTGGAGGGGGCCCGTTCATAAGCACTGTCTAGCTAGCCTGAAGTTCCTTGCACTTCATAAATGCCCCAAATTGAGTATCATTTTCTCGCCAGATTTGGTTGCTAATCTTGCCAATTTAGCAGAGCTCATCGTTGAACACTGCCCTCAACTGACAAGTCTTGTGAGCCTAATAGGTCATGCGTCCAGTAACTCAGCAACACAACCAAATTGCTTTCTTCCAAGCTTGAAAAGAATATCGCTGCTTTACCTGCCAAATCTTGTTAGGATTTCTAGTGGTTTGCGCATTGCTCCAGAACTAGAAAAAGTAGGGTTTTACAATTGCCCGAAGCTTAAGAGTCTTTCACCGATGGAAATGTCAAGTGAAAATTTGAAGGTGATCAAAGGGGAAAGTCGCTGGTGGGAAGCATTGGAGTGGAAGAACTCAGAGTGGGGGAACCGGCTGGATTATCTGCATGGTATCTTTTCCCCACTTATTAAGGAGAGAGATGTGAAGGCGCAATTGGCAGAAGATGGAATTATGCACCAAGCTTCAACTTAAACACCGAGAGAGAGGTGACGGCGCTGGTCAACAGCCAGGTAATTTCTTTTGAATTAAGAAGGTGTCCTTTTATTTGGCATCCAAGTGGTACTAGTAAATAAGCAGATAATGTGCTTAATAATGGAGGATGAGCGATTCACAAGGTAAATATCTGGTTTTTTTCTTTTTATATATAATTAGAGGAGAGGGATTCCAATGTTATTTTGGGATAATGCATCAACCAATGAATTAAATATTCGGATGCAATATCTGATTCTCCTAACCCTCACCATAAAAAAAAAAATCAGTAAAAACAATAATAAGAACCACTGGGCACTTCTGTTCTTTTGTTTTTTATCAGATTTCTCTATGTTCTTCAGACTATACTTCTCATGATTTAAGTGATTGGTCTTGGACAAAACTGTATTTCCAGGATTCCAAGAGCTAAATGTGGAACCATGACAGTTTACGTTGGTGGCTCGAATTTTGAATAAATTGAAGGTCAAAGCCTCACACCAACACGGGTGGTGGTTTATTTTGTCTGAGTAGGCATCTGCAGGCGTAGCTTGCCGATGGTTTATGCACCTTTTGTTTTTTCCTGATATTAAACCTTTTATTTGATTTCTGAGAGGTACATTTCTAACATGGATATCATCACGCTAAGGGTTCAATGCCAGAACATTGGCGGGTATTTCAAGAATTAGTTGTTTGCAATGATCCCTGTCAAGTTTTATTCTGATTATGTTGAAATTGTGATAAAGAGCTTTTGCATCATTTTTTGTTCCCTTGCAATCCCTGTTCTTTGATTGAAAACTGACACTCTGGGAAGATTTTGAACCAATTGCTTTATTAAATTTCAGGCATATTGACGTATCCTGGAAGTAACCTACAGTTAAAGCAGCAGATAAAAATCTTTTTGGGACCTAGAGTTAAGGCAGTGCAAATTTTAGGCACATGTACAAAGTTTTTCTTTGTGCTATAGTAAAAGGTATCTAGTATGAGGAATCTACAACATCCATTCAAACTAAAGCAGTGCAAATCTTATGTTGTTCTTAATTATTCTCATTACAGCAGTGCAAACTTGAATAAGCAAAGAAACATTCACCTGAGGAAACAGAAGGATTGGAGGTGGTCTCTAACCTCACTGTGTCTCCACTCTAGTGCTTCCCACCATAATCGTTTAAATTTAGCTCTGTTGCATTGTGTTCACTGAAAGGTAGTGATTTCACCTCGGGACATCCAAATATCTTAAGCACCTTTAAATGGGACCATGCCAATGACTCATCCGCAGATATAGTTCTTAATTTCGGCATGTCAACCAGTTCCAAAATCTCTAGATTTGGAAGCTCAATCAACTTTTCTATCTCGAAGCAGCTTTCCATTACCAATTTTTTGAGTTTTGTGAGCTGTTGAATCACCCCGTTGGAAAATATCTTTGTCAACATTGGACAACTCTTTACTACAATAGTATGTAGTTTTGACAAGCTTTTTCCTGAAGTGGGGCCTTCGAAAGTACTCTTTAGAAGGAGCAAATTCCTTAAATGTAACTGTTCCAAGATCGGTAGAATGTCCATTTCTCCTTCCCTTTCGGCATCTATAATGCTTGTGATTTTATTGCATCGCTCAATCAGACAACCCCGAACATGGTTCAGGCTGGCAACATTCATGAAGTCTTGTTGTTGTGACCGATCAATTCCAATGCATCAGTTTTAGGAAGGACATCACGGACTGTAGAATATCATTGCCAGGATAGCAGTATCTCATATATCTATTTACCTTGTATTCCAAACAGTCAAGAATCAGAGGGTTGTTGTCGCTTTCACAGCCAACAAAAAACCAAAATGAGGTTAAT